CTTCCCAGCTAGCAATTTTTCATTCTAGGAATGTTACGATTAAGGTATGGAACAGTTTAAAGTGTCAGGCTTTCCTGACGTTCCCAGAATAATATCCCACTACTATAACTATGAATAATAATGCAGACACAAATAAATGGCACGACGTTAAATAAATGCCATGCTTATATTTCCAAAGCTGGCTGGTGCATTTGCAGTGTACACATATTGCACTTATATAAAATAATAGTTTTATTATAAAACAATATTCTTCAACATTTAATATGTTATCTGCTATGCTTGTCCGTTTATGTGTCTCTCTCTAATCATGTTTTATGTATCACAACACAACCCTGTAAAGCACTCTGGGAAAACTTTGTTGTGAAAGGCGCTATATAAAAAAATAAATGTGTTGTATTATATTGTATTAAAAAGGTTGTTCAGGTAATAATGTTAACTTTTGTTAAAATGCAAAACACAGAAATAAGGTTCCACTAACATTACAGTAAGAACATTCTCAGACTCCTCTCCTGGAGCCGACACCTTATCGTGGTGGAGGGGTTTGCGTGTTCCAATGATCCCAGCAGCTTAGTTGCCCGGGGCTTTATGCCCCTGGTAGAGTCACCAGGCAAAGTGCGGAACCAGACAAAGTGCGGCTCATCAGACCTCTTATGATGAGAAATAACATGGATACACGTTTTCCCTTGCCAAAAGATGGGTCACCCCTCCCCCCCTGCTGCTAGGCATCTGCTGGGAACGTCTGGCGGAATCCCCTGTCAGAAGGAGCTTCAACTCCTACCTCCGGCAGATCTTCGTCCATGTCCCGGGGGAGGTGGGGGGACGTTAAGTCCGAATGGGCCATGTTCCGCACCTCCATTGTGGAGGTGGCTGACCAGAGTTGTGGCCGTAAGGTGGTCGTGCCTGTCGGAACGGCAATCCCCGAACCCACTGGTGGACACCGGTGGTGAGGGATGCCGTCAAGCTGAAGAAGGAGTCCTATCGGGACTCCGGAGGCAGCTGATGAGTACTGCCGGGCCAAGCGGAACGTAGCCTCGGCAGTTGCCAAGGCAAAAACTCCTATGGTAGGAGTTTGGCAAGGCCATGGAGAATGGTTTTGAGGACATTCTGGTCCACCATCCGGCGGCTCAGGGCGGGAAAACAATGCAGCATCAACACTGTTTATGGTGGAGATAGGGCGCTGCTGACCTCAGCTTGGGACTTTGTGGGTGGGTGGAAGGAATACTTTGAAGACCTTCTCAATCCCACCGACATGCCTTCCAATGAGGAAGCAGAGTCTGGGGACTTGTTGGTGGACTCACCTATCTCTGGGACGGAGGTTGCTGACGTGGTTAAAAAGCTCCCCAGTGGCCGGGCCCTGGGGGTGGATGAGATCCACCCGGAGTTCCTCAAGGCTCTGGATGTTGCAGGGCTGTCCTGGTTGACACGCATCTGTGACAGCATTGTGTGGACATCAGGGGCAGTGCCTCTGGACGGCAGACCGGGGTGGTGGTCCCCCTCTTTGAGAAGGGGGACCGAAGAGTGTGTTCCAGCTAAAGGGGGATCACACTCCTCAGCCTCCCTGGTAAGGTCTATTCAGGGGTGCTGGGGAGGAGGGTCCGTCAGATAGTTGGACCTCGGATTTAGGAGGAGCAGTGTGGTTTTCGTCCTGGCCGTGGAGCAGTGGACCAGCTCTATACTCTCCGCAGGGTCTTGGAGGGTGTGTGGGAGTTTGGCCAACCAGTCTACATGTGCTTTGTGGACTTGGAGAAGGCATTCGACCGCGTCCCTCGGGGAATCCTGTAGGGAGTGCTCAGGGAGTATGGGCTGTTCGGTCCCTGTACAACTGGTATCAGAGCTTGGTCCGCATTGTCGGCAGTAAGTCGGACTCGTTTCCGGTGAGGGTTGGACTCCACCAATTCTGTTCATAACTTTTATGGACAGAATTTCTAGGCGCAGCCAGGGCGTTGAGGGTGTCCGGTTTGGTGACCTCAGGATTAGGTCTCTGCTTTTTGCAGATGATGATGTTCTGTTGGCCTCATCAGATTGTGACCTTAGGATCTCACTGGAGCAGTTTGCAGCCGAGTGTGAAGCAGCTGGGATGAAAATCTGAGACCATGGTCCTCAGCCGGAAAAGGGTGGAGTGCTCTCTCCGGGTCGGGGAGGAAGTCCTTCCCCCAAGTGCAGGAGTTTAAGTATCTCAGGGTCTTGTTCACAAGTGAGGGAAGGATGGAGCGGGAGATCGGCAGGCGGATCGGTGCAGCATCAACAGTGATGCAGGCGCTGCATCGGTCTGTCATGGTGAAGAAGGAACTGAGCCAAAAGGCAAAGCTCTCAATTTACCAGTCGATCTACGTTTCTACCCTCGACTATGGTCATTAGGTGTGGGTAATGACCGAAAGAACGAGGTCGCGAATACAAGCGGCCAAAATGGGTTTCCTCCGCAGGGTGGCTGGGCTTTCCCTTAGAGATAGGGTGAGAAGCTCGGTCATTCGGAAGGGACTCAGAGTAGAGCCGCTGCTCCTCCGCATCGAGAGGGGCCAGATGAGGTGGCTCGAGCATCTGGTCAGGATGTCTCCTGGACGCCTCCCTGGTGAAGTGTTCTGGGCATGTCACACTGGGATGAGGCCCTGGGGAAACCCAGGACACGCTGGAGAGACCATGTCTCCCGGCTGGTCTGGGAACGCCTCAGGATTCCCCCGGAGGAGCTGGATGAAGTGGCAGGGGAGAGGGAAGTCTGGGTTTCCCTGCTGAGACTGCTGCCCTCACGACCCGACCCCGGAAAAGCGGTAGATGATGGATGAATGGCATTCTCTGCCAACTTTGGGAAGACCTTAAAGTAATGGTAGCTAAAGTTCTGAGAACATTCGTTTTTAGCTGGATTATTGGCCTGATTTGGTCAATTAACCATTCAGGTAATTAAGTTATAGTTGAAAATCTGAAAAGTCATTATGAAACTGCGTGGGATTGAAACAAGGGTAATTTTACCCTCTCACATATATATATATATATATATTTTTTTTAAAACACTGCCCTCATAAATGTTATGCTCTCATAGATTCAGTAGTTGAATGGTTGTTTCGTCAAAGTCATGTTGGTAAGAGTAAGGTCCAGCAGTTCTCTCTTATCTCAGAAACATGGTTCAAGCGACTTGTAAAGCTTGAACAGTCATTAGTTCCATTTAATGCATTTGCTGACTGTGTCATATTTGCCCGGGTTTGGTTCAGCCTACACAACTAAGAATGGACCTTGCCGATGTTCTGAGGGAGCGCTCTGAGTAAGAAGCTATGGAACACAATTCATTTCTCATGAAAAAGCATATAAATAGCTCTTTGTCACATTGTCCTCCTGCTGATTCTTATGGCAAACTGGAGCATAGGTGATGCCATTAGCTTAGCTTCCTAGTTATCAAATAGAACATCTGAGCAGGGTTGCTAACTCTTGCACGACACACACACTTTCTCACGCTCACGTAAGAAACCTAAAACTAGCGGTGAGGTATTTTGCAAACCCTACAGACTATTTACAAGGTAATTAAGCTCTTACATACATGTAAATGAACGTGCATGTGTGTGCAGACTTGTCTGGAATTGAAAATCTCACTCCAGCCAGCTGACCAAAGTTGGTGACACTGCATCTGAGTGAGACGCTACTGAACTGGTTTATTGCAATACTTATTGGCTATAGATGTTATACCATTTGCTAAAACACTTCATAATCGTATCCTTATACAGAGTGCTGCCATCTGGGGGAATGCGCTATGTATTGCAACTCCTCCATTGCACACGTGGAGGATAATTCAGGTAACCAAAACATAACACTATTTCAGGCAGCAGTTTTTGTTTCACTAATCCACACAGAGATGTCAAATGTAATTTTATTGATCAATAGAATGGAACACATACTACTTGATGTCACTGAAAATTATGTTCTGGCTTTCTAGAGACCAGAATGAATGAAAGCGGTTTGTATATGAGTCAGCAGAAGCACAATGCAACACCCAAATGGAAAAAATTACCTCAACTTTCATTAGGTGTACAATGTGCTGCCGACCTGTACCGTGCCACACCATAGGCCCATTCAAAGAACATTTAATCTAAATTGAACAATTTCCATGTCAGACTAATAAACTGGCTGGTAAATCAGGCTGGTTATACATTTTATTTATCCCTGCTTGTTCCCTTTGCATGCATTTTTGAGCACATTTTAAAGTGTCGATATTTTTGCGCAGAAGACAAACTATGTGAGCATTCTTACCTGTGAACGCCTTCTTTGCTAAAAGAATATTGGCTCCATCTGCTGGTCATTTTTCTGCCACTACAACCATCAGAACCCTGCATCTACCCAAATCCAATAACCCGACGAAGGTCATACAGCTGCTCTTCCTCAGAATGTACCTATGGGTAACATTTGTGGTACCGCCCATCAGATACATGTAAAGGCCAGAGCAGCCAGCAGAAATACAGGCAACCAAACATCCAGGCCAAAGCCTTAGAACTCATAGGTGTGAAATGCAGAAGTGGTACATGCATACACTTCCCCTAATAAAGGCGAACCACAAAATCCTTAAGAACAAGGCATGCCTAGCATAGGTTGTTAAAAGATGATGTATGAAAGGTACTTACTGATGAGGTTTCCCAGGGAACAATGTCTTGCTAGAGAAGTACTTCAGTACAGCGCAAGGTCTAAGGAAGTATGCGGCATTTCATTCTTATGGGAACCACGTAGTTCACTGATGCCCCAAACCATGTCTTTGGAGAGCAGAGCAGTGGATGTTATAGTGAGGCTCGTGTAGCCACATGTGCTTGGCTTGGTCAGTGCCTGTACACAGCTACCAACGTCATGGACCTAAGAGTCAGTTTTTGCAGAGTGTAAAGCAATAAAAGAACAAGTCAGACCCACCAGAAATCAAAGAAAAGCCTAATAGGTCCCACAAATCAAATACATGAAATCTACACCAGTGGAAGAATAAACAGGACAGGATAAACACAATTAAGTCTTAGTTGTTACAGGAGCAGATGAAGGGCATTTTATTGTCCTGTGGGGACAGTATATTTAATCTAAATGCAAAAGCAAATGCCTAAAATGTACACACCTTAACCAAAAAAAAAAATCATTATACAAGGATGAAAGTGCAACACCTGTCAGTAATAGACTTATGTGGATAGTGATTACAAATACTAAAGAATGCTATGGTCTCATCACAGGAGAGATCTCCTAGGTTTTAGAAAAACTTGCAGTCCCGGTAAACCCATGGAAATACTTGTGTAACAAGCATGAAGCAGGAGGGCGATGTACTGTAAATATAAAAGGCTTATATAATCATAAAAAAAATCTGACTGGCATGGACTACAGCCTTGTTGCTAGATACATACATCAGTGCCAAGGCTTTTCAAGTGGTACAGGTTTCCTGCATGGAAACCAGATATGACAGTTCAGTCCAACAATGCAGGAGTTGAAATCTACAAGCTGGTGCCAAGAGTCCCATTAAGTTGGCGTACATCAAATCCACAAAATGTTTACATGATATTGGTAAAGCTACTCTGACAGGACATGCCTTTTTAAAGACCAGAGACCTCTCAGTCCATTCAGACACGCAATCCACTCCAAATATCAACGCAACAAGACAAGGCACAGATGCATACTTGTTCATTTCCAGGCTATCCTATTCTTTATTTAATGCAAATTACAGTACCAGGTAACTATTTCTTTGAACCAAGTCACACAGAGGGACAAAATGGAAATATTTACAGGGAAGGGAAAACATTTAGCATACTTTCACAGAAAAAAGTTTATATTTAAAATGAAATAAAAATTTCAGTCACAAACAGGCATTCAAGTAGTAATGTTATACAGGTTCTTTTTCGTTATAGTTTTTCTTTTAAATCATGACAGCTTTTTTCACAAGTATGTGATAGTCTGTATATAACCCACAGTCCATTTCTTTTTTATTTTTTAAGTATTTAAACTTTGCGTTTTTATAACGTTTTACTCTTATTTAACTTTAGTCACAAGAAGTGATCACACGGTTCATTTTACAGGTCAGGTGACTGGATAGCAACACGTCTATGAACGCAAATATTACAAGCAAGCATTTTTTTGTCATGTTTTTGAATTTTTTTTTGTTTTTTTTTGGGAAGAGGCTACATGATATTGCTCCCACCGAGTGCTGCTGAATGCGTCTCGCAGATGACTGAGAAAGACAGTCTTATAGTATGAAATGTTATTGCCTCTTTGCTCACCGGTTCACCGAGAAAAACGCAGAGTCTCTTTGGTACAGGGTCAGGAAGTAAATGCTGCGCCTCACACCTGAACCCCCCCACCCTACGACGAGGAGAGTGCCAGGTCTCCTTTCTGAAGCATTTTTTCTTCCTCTCCCAAAAGGACCCTTAGGAAGAGCGTACACAAAAAACACTCAGCGTGACCTCAAGATGATGTTTACAGAAACAGGAATTAAAGTGTAAATATGAGGTTTCATAAGGATGTGATAAAAAAAAAAAAACAAAAAAGAAAGAGCTGAAGGGAGCCAGCCATTCAACAGCACTCTCAGGGTGTTTCAAGGACAGAAGGAAGAGGGATAACCTAAAGGAAGCAAGGCACTCCAAACTATAGATACACTATACATGACTAGTTATTGTTACAATAATATAGCTGGCACCTACTGTGCATTTCAGATTGAACTATATGGCTGGAAAATGCTCATCTACATTTTTGAATAAATGATTTCTGCCCTGAATCCCCGCCCTCCCCTGCTTTATCATCAGTATTTTTTTTATGATTTTTTTTTCTAATTAACAGTTCTTGGGTCCGCATATTTACAAAACATACACATAAAAATAAAGTACAAGCCAGAATTTGGTGAGGAGCATCCGTATATACATGACACACGCGCACACACACACGCACACACATTTCTGTTACAATTGTAAGACTTGTTGAAGGACTGTAAGGAGGAGAGGTGGGTGCAGACTACAAGGTGGACCATTAGAACTGGAGCCATACGAACACAAAGACCGAACACTTACTGACCAATTTCAACACTCCATCGGTAGAGGAGGGAAAAGGGGATGTCAGTAGGAGAAGCTGAACACCCCTCCAAGGCTGTACAGTTCCTTCAACTTAACTCCCCCTGTAGGAGGAGCAGGTACCCAGCAGCCATATGAAACTTAACCACAGAGCACACTAGTCAAACTTACAAAAGAATGCAGAGGAAGTTCAAACAAGATATAAATAATAATAAAAAAAAAAAAACTAAGATCCACCCTTGCCTTCATGCTGATCCCACTGTAGGTCAGATGCTGGACACAGATAAGGAGCAGAGCCATATTAATTACACAGAAACTAATGTGAAACCCAATGAGAAGAGATCAAACTGCAGAACTTTCCGCACGTTGCCAGTCCCCCGTGCTAAGTTTCACTTGGTTTTAACTCGTTATCGCCCAAAGGTCTTGCCGCAGACTCCCTTGGTAACCCAAGAGCGTCACCGGAGACGGGCAGGACATGCCAACTCCTGTGTAAGGTGCCCGAATTATTCGTTCAATCAATGAAGAATCCTATTCTAAATATTTTTGTGTAAGAATTGTGATTCGTTTAGGATATCGCAAACGTAGCCTGAGCCAAAGGAGTTCCGTGTACATACAAGGAACAGTGTATCAACGTGTTGGCGGAAACAGCGGATTAATCGCATCGCATAAATGTCCTGAGTGGGCCCACACCTCACCTCAGAAGTTGGGTGAAAACTCCTCAGCCTCGGTTCAAGCTCAAATCCCTCAACGTTATGACAGATCCATTTAACCAAAGTCTACACAAGTCACATGCAATAATAAATAAGTTGAAAGGAAAGTTAAAAGAGGTGCCGGGGAGGAGAGGTGGGGGGGGGGGTTTTAAAATCTATACAAATCTAAGTCACTAATAAAAATCAACAAGGACTGACAGAAGCAGGAAATGTGCTTGCTGGACAGAAGACTCTTCCTGAAGAGACTCGAGAAGCTTCAGGCACCAGCAAATATTGCTGCAGAGCCGTATCAGCTCTTGACCTCTGACTTCTGAACTGTAATTTGATATATACCGTAAATATTTTACATAATGCAAAGTAATACATGAACCGTATGTATAAATACAACACGAGCACACGGATGCAGATGTCGATCGCTAAAAACTTCCCACCCGTGTCATCTCCCCCAGTCCCATCGCTAAAAGAAATATTTAGTCCATCTTTTTTGAAACTGTGCGCCATTCACAGTTGTCTAACATACTGTAATTACCTTCTCTGGGGTTGCCAGATTTTTTATTTTTTTTTAATGGGGGCTTTTAAAATGGTTTAAGGATTAAATATCGTGGCCCTTTAATTGCTAAAAAGAGCAACAGCTTTCAGCCGATTATAAACAGACTGTGGTAAGAGTCTCCTAACTCAAGCCATGCACAAGGAGCTCTGAGAATGGGTCAAAGGTTACAAGTTACAAAGTGGGGGGGGGGTTTCTCCCAAACCCAGAGGAAAAAGTGATAAAAGATAAATATAGCTACAATACTGCTTCAATACAAAGATTGTCAAGGGAGAAACATGAATACATATTGTATTTACTGTATATTTATATATTTATATATTTACTTATTCAACAGCCCCCTTGCCACCCCCACGTCTCTCGTAGCAAGCACACAAATGAATAGCAGTCATCATAGTCGCTATCACTTTGTACAAATAAAAACACACGAATGAACAGGCAGATGGGGGTTGGGGGGGGGGCACTCGGTCAGATTGGTTTCCTCTTTTTTTTTGTGGGTTTTTTTGTGTTTGTGTGTGTGTGACCCCGCCCATCACCCCCGACTCCTCCCCAAAAGGCAGCCAAGGACGAGAGGCGAGGCCTGGTCAGCGGGGTGGGTCCTGGGGGAGGAGGCAGGATCTCAGGTGGAGTTGGAGGCAGAGGCAGAGGCTGCGTTGGTGGTCTGGCTACGATCTCCACTGTTGGCGTCTGAAACGAGGATAGCAGAGACCCCATCAGGGGCAAGGGAGCGACGGGGCAGATAAACATGAGGAGGCATGGTGGAGAGCACAGAGGGTAAGGAGATGGAACGTGGACCACTGTGCCTTGAGCGGAGGGGACAGGAAAGCCAAGGGTCATACCTGAAGCAGCAGAGGCGTTGGTTGGGGTGGAAGCACCAGGCTGGTTCCGGGCGTGGGCAGGGATGAGGATGGAGGCCAGGGAAGGGTTACTGGACAACTCTGAGGGAGACAGGGGTAGACAGAGCAAGAGACCGTCACTGAAACGTCACCGATACACTGACTATGCCAGCGACAAGGGCTGGAGGATCAGGAGACTAACTTATGGGAACCTGAACGTGGAAAAGGAGTTTAGATGGGAAGATTTTCTGAGCTGAGCAAGACAATAATACCTGCTGTGTGGTGGGCGATAAAAATTTCCCCACAATGCGATAAAAACTTTCGACCTTGTGGGGACATTTTTTCAGCCCCTCAATTTTGTAAAAAATCTATGAATTCAAAAAATTTTTTTTGATTGGTTACTTATGGTCAAGATTAGGGTTGGCTGGGGGCTGGGGTTGTTATTGTCGAGATTATTTTTCCCATAGAAATGAATACAAACGTGTGTGTGTGTGTGTGTGTGTGTGTGTGTGTGTGAGGGGGATGTCGCTACCCTGAGTGGTGAAGTTGAAGAGGGACGGCTTCTCGCGGCCGTTGGGCAGCTTGACGTTGGGGTCCCGCAGCTCGTCGAAGAAGGAGTGTGCGCAGGCCTCCAGGGGAGTGAGGCGTGCGGTGGGCGTGTACTCCAGCAGCCGCGAGCACAGCGCGATGGCCTCGGGCGGCGTGCGCGGCCGGAACACCTGCGGGCCGCCCAGACAGGCAGTGTGTTGCCGCTGCACAGAGAAAACACCCACGCCAACCTAATACCTCACACCACCAGGGGGCGCACTCAGGGCAACCGGGACTAAACAACACAGGTTATTTAAATATTAACTCTACGCTACGAGGGTGAGGGCAACATGCTGTGACCCACTGGATGCCAGAAACAACACATTTCATTCGGTGCAGACAGTTAAAGCATGAGAAACAGAGGAAGCAGACATAATGGCAGACAGCAGGGACACAAAGAGCTTCCTGAAGTCAGTCCAATCAGCTGTGCCCAGTGGCATCCTCCGCATGAAAAGGGACACCCTCTCTGTGTTTGGGACTGCATGCAGATCTTCACTAACCCCTGAAGGAGAAAGAAAAACCTCCTCCTTCTACAATCACAACATTCTACTAAAGACATACTGCCTGTCAATCAGAGGGCCCAGTGGATTCGACTTAAGCATCTCTGAGACTGTGGAGCTGAGGAACTGAGATAAGACCCACAGACCACAATGCAGGGCATTACTCAGCATTGTACATTAAGCTAAATGCAGCCTTAATTCAGGTGTCCATTACAGATGGAGACACACAAGGCCTGACTTCAGATCAGTCATCCAGAGCGACCAGAGGAATATGGGACTTCTCTCTTTCCAGTCCGCTGCAGGAGGGTAAAAAACAAGCAAAAAAGAAAATAAACTCCATTTCCACAACAGATCCTCTCCAGGAAGAGAAAGCCACACTTAACCTCCCAGTCTCTGAATGCCCCATTTCTGTAAATCAAATTCATATTTAGGACCGCGACTGGTCCTTAACCGCCCCCCACCGGGAGGAGCAGACGGAAACCAATCTCACTCATTCTCTCGCCGCAACAAAAGGCATGCGTCTGTGTCTGTGCCACAGATGGGACGCTACTGTGAGATGCTAAATGCCTGAGAGCAATAACAGAAAGCTTGGCAATGGCGAGACGATATTCAGGGAGACCGGAGCAATATGTGGGTTTCTGACAGCAAACGCAAGCTGGCACTCGTGTCGAGTCTTCAGCATCTCCTCGTAGCTCTGAATCAGTTTAAAGTTTGGCAGAAACTAAATACGCAGGTGCGACTAAGCATAGCTACCATGGATGCCTTACTGCATGCGCACGCTGAACTGAATCAAGCAAGTCAACCACAAGAGGGGGACAGAGATACCAACGAGCACAATTCTAACAAACACTGACATCACAAATTCCCAAAATTAAGCTAAGCTTTCCAGTGCAGCTCCCTACATTTACATTTTATTTATTTAGCAGACAGTATTATCTAAAGCGATACATACTGGGTCAGACAGTCCCTGGAGTAATTGGAGTTAAGGGCCTTGCTCAAGGGTCCAACGGTGAAAACACTCTGCCGGCGCTGGGATTTGAACTGGCAACCTTCCAATCACAGGAACAGCGGCTTAACCTGAGCCCCACGCTGCCCCCAAAGAGAAGCTACACTGGCCCGGATTTGCACCCGGGCTTCCATGTGACAAGCTAGAATTCTACCACCGAATCACCAACACTCTTCTAATACTGTGAAGCACTGCCAACAAACTGGACATAAGTCTTCTCCAAATACGTTTCTCTGAATTGTTTTATTACAAGAGACCCTAGAGGTTGGCCTAGGAGGAAAAATGTCAGAAGTAAGATAAACCAGCAGCTGGCAGAAGTCGATTGTCAAGGCTGATATCAGGGCCCGTTTGTGAGTGTGACAGCTGAGCAGGGGTCATAAAACCCGAGCCACATACTCGGGTCCATCCAGCTTGCATGAACAGGCAATGACACGGATGGCTTCCTGTAAGCCAGCTCGGCGCATCACCAGAACTTTGCAATGGATGACTGTGTGACGCCTAGCTTTTAAGAGACACTTAAAAACACAAATATCGGCTAATTTAGTGTGGCAGAGTGAGTAACTAGGGTGTCTTTAATGAGAAACACATCTGACTGGTCAGAGAGAGGCAAAAAACAGAAGCATTAAGCAGTCACATCCACACCTGGACATTAAACATATACTTCTAAAACATTAACATCTACAAAAGGTTCATTTAAAATGACTCATCTCAGTAAATACCAGACTGGTTTATTAGTACCACATGAGTTAGCTGGCTTCATTCAAGTATCCAGTATGGCAGAACAATGTAGCCAACTGACACCTAAAACCAGCAACGACCTCCAAACTAAACTGGGCAGAATTACCTTATCATGCATCAACAACTTATATTGATCTACAGACTTTCCATTTTCAAATTCTGAGATCATAGTACCACCCATAATTATGATAACCCATAAAAGCAGTGAGCAAGTTCTCAGCTGAGAGCAGGTAGAGACGTGGAGCCGGGGTCTGAGTGAGCAGGGGAGGAGCAGGAATACAGGCCAGCGAGGAGGTCGATGGAGACGAGAAGCCAAGAGATGCGGAGGAACGAAAAGGTAGTAAAAGATTTGATGTACCTGCTGACTCACCTTAGTCCATGGGTGTGCCTTGATCTGGGGGAACTTGAACTCTGTGTAGTTGGGATTCATCTCACGGATCTGTTCCCTTGTAGGCGTTCCCAGGACCTGAGCGACATGAGGAGAGATGAAAGGAGGACGGGAAATGTTTAGCGGAGAACAGGTGGGAGCAAACGCGGCCACAGTGCGGAAATCCACTTGAATGACAGAGTTTTAAGCTTATTTCTCAATTAAAGCTTGTTCCAAAGCCACTGACTGCACAGGAGAAAAAACAGCAAATGAACAAATTCAACCGTACACAACAGGACCAATTTCACTTGCGTGCAATAATTCGCAACCACCAGAAGCACATGGTCTTTACCCTGCACTCCAAGGTCCTGAGTTCACGTGAACTACACCACACACACACACACACACTCCTTTCCACATACATGTGGAATTTAAATCAGATATGAGCAAAATAAATATACACTCCCACACAGATGCAAGCAAGATGTATACAACTAGACAAATATTAGGTTACTGATAAGAAAATCTAGCTAGCAAGGGACACAATGGGTTGACGAGAGTTATAGGTAGAACATATAGCAAATTAATATGAAGAAAAAAACTCAAGAAAGTCAAATTTCACTTATCTGTGATAGAAAAAAAAAAACATTGGAGGCTGAACATCTATATTAAAATGAACGTGACAAACTATACAATGTGAGGTGATACATAGATAGGATGACGTCAACTAGAGCTCATTATCCACCCTGCAGTACTTTAAGAAAGCCACCGTCCACGAGACCATTACTAACAAGATGAGCACAAGGCTTTGACATGCCGGATGACGTATACAAAACGCCGGCTATTGTTACCTTGATGATTTCGACCAGCTGATCCACTCCGCTGTCTCCGGGAAAGATCGGCTGCCCAAGCAGCAACTCCGCTAGAACGCAGCCGGCCGACCAAACATCTGCGAGACAAACAGTGGGGTGAGGAGCAGAGAAAGAAGTCAAAGGGACCTGACAGCCGTTTAAACAAGGCTACAGCAGCTTGACGGCGCTACACACAAATGGAAAAAATCAGCATGCCCAAAAGTGCTTCTTCTGCAACTGTAGACACTATCCTCAGTGAATCAGCTGTTTTAAAAAAGAATTTTTCAAAAGCCTTGTTCATGACACTAATATCAGTCGGCTCATCGTCCGAGCCATGGTGCTGTCATGCTTTTGGAAGCAGGCTGGAGGCATTTTCATGGAGATGTGGGCTGAGAAGCCAGAGAACTCATCGTCATACAAGAGCTACAGAGCTAGTCCAGGCTGTTACTAACATGACCTCTTCTGGATCAAAGTGCCTGGAGCTTGGGGTGAGTTAGACGTTTCACAAAGAGGTTCCCCCCTCAACCAGTACCCATCTCTCTAAGGCCTGACTCCCACGGAAAGAGCGGCTTATGACGTACCGATGCTGGCAGTGTAGTCCGTGGCTCCGAAGATGAGCTCAGGAGCTCTGTAGTAGCGAGAGCAAATGTACGACACGTTGGGTTCACCCCTCACCAGTTGCTTTGCACTGTGGGTGAGAAACCAGAAGGTTAGCAGCAGAGACAGCTATGGCCTGAATGGCCTCCTTCAGAACGAGAAGCTAGGTCTCATTTTCCAAGGATACATTTTCTCGTCATCTGAGATAGAAAAACCTGACCAGAAGTCAGAGCTTCTGCAGGTCAGTTTGTCCTCCTGATTCTCATACCAATGCAACCCCAATCCTCTTCTGTCTAATGAAACATACCACAAGAAGGTCCCCACACTCTGGACTTTCAACCATCTCACCTCCCGAAGTCACACAACTTGAGCACAGCTGTCTCTGGGTCCAGCAGGAGGTTCTGCGGCTTGATGTCCCGATGGCAGATCCCAAAGGAATGGATGTACGCTAGACTCCGAAACAGCTGGTACATGTACAACTAGAAAAAGATCAGATATCAGCATGAGACTGGATTTCAATGCGTCTCTAAGAATTACTTTACTTACAGGTCTTCTATGGACACAGAGGAGCCTCACAAATGTAATATGTATATTGTGTGGCCTTTGATATAGGAGATGCGGGAGAAAAACAGTTCAACATATGGGTGAGAGAATAGAGCCAAGGCTGCTGATCTTTCTCCACTGCCTAATGGAATCAGTGAATGCACAGATCCCTGCAGGCCAGCTACAAAGGGGTCCATGCCATATGGAGCTATGCACGGCACCCACTGCTCTGAACGGTGGCTAATTGGGGTCGTCCTGCTGTGCAGCTGTGACCCACAGAGAGGCCTACGCTTGGGCACCGCAAAAGATTCCACACAAAATGTAAAACCATCAGAGTAACTGTTGCTCACCTTTGGTCTAACGACCGTAATTAGGCTACCATCACCTAATGACTACTGACTTCAGTCCCCCCCCCCCTTAAATAAATAGCGTGAGGAGATCTATGTGCTCCTGGGACTCATTAGAGGACCTCGGGGTGTAGCAGGGCCTTGCTGAGCGTTAAGCATACCTTGACGTAGACTATGGGCAGAGTCTGCTTGGCTCGGCTGTAGTGTCTGGCCACCCGGTACACTGTCTCAGGAACATAGTCCAGCACCAGGTTCAGATACACCTCATCTTTCTGTGGAAGTTGGGAAAGAACAGAAATTAAGAGCATTTTCCCCTTTGCTAGGAGGGATGGTGCACTAACATCTACAAAAACATACTTTTTTTTTTGTTAGAGTGGACACACCGACACAAAGCACAGGTCCTGAAGGCAAGCAGCATTGCAGGAGACGAACTCTACAAGTTAAGAAGATTGCTGTTTGAGGGAAGAAGAAACTATTTACCGGCAAACTAACATCTGTTTTTATAAGCCACAAGGAAGCGTTTAGCACATGTGAGTGAGATCCACATACATTGCCCACTGCAGAAAACCTGCCAAATGTCACGCCTGCTTCCGCCAAACACACCTGAAAGACCGATCGATCTGAAGGCCTCAACTTCCTTTGGAAACCGCACAATTCCTTCAGACCCAAGAAAAAGAAGAGATGTCACCCAATCACATCGGCTGCTACAGGAGGCCGGACAGAGACTGCCGTCGGAAAATCACAGGCACACGGGACGACGCACGCAATCACACTCGCATGCACGCACGCCAGTGGAGAATGTCTTCAGATGTCTGCAGAAACCATGATATTGTCAAGAGAAGTTACAGGCATGGGAGTCTGAAACCATCTACACATCCACAAGTGTCAATCTTTACCGTCCCACTAAAATGTAATTCCCAGAAAGAAACCCAGAGATAGATTTGGCAGTAAAATTACGTACGTGTCAAAATTAGCAACTGTGATAGAGTTCTAATGTGTGGGTGGTGGTTCAGGGCTACTGCAGAAGACAGAACTCCTGTTTTATATGGGGAAAAAATAAAGATAGCTCTGACTGTATCAGTAAACCAATACTGAAATACACTGTGTGTGTTTAATCTGCTGATTTTTAGAAATCCAAAGCTACCGGTCGGTCCTGCAACAAGCCTGAGAACCTGCAGCGAGCCTGAGAACCTTAAGTGAGCCTGAGAACCTTAAGTGAGCCTGAGAACCTTACGTGAGCCTGAGAACCTTACGTGAGCCAGCTCAAAAACACATGCACATTCTCTTCAAAATGCAATCGACACGCAGGCTTCATAAAGCAAACAGATTAGAAATGGTTTTAAACCATTAAACAAAATAGCTGTAAAACCCTTTTCACACTTTATGTCCTGCAAGTACATGATTTTATTTATTTTTTAAATTTAGCCAAAGCTTATATCCAAAGCAACATGTCGACCACCACCTGGGGGTTAAGAGCCTTGCTCCGACCCTGGGATTTGAATGAACAACCTTCCAATCACAGGCACAGGGTCTTAACCACCCCCTGCAAAATGGCATTGCTGAACAAGGCAGGTGGACTGAGCCAGTGACGTCACCGTAACAAAGCCCGAACCGTTCCCTAACCTCTGAACAGGTTCCCACATAGAACCTTCCAGCACTGGCCTGGCCGGTGGCTGCAGCCTCTCACGTGCCGTGCAGCCACCTCCACGTACAACAGCGCCTTGCTGCTTACTCACGAGAGGCGGGCACACGCCCAAATGTCTGCCAGGTGTCCAAGGTGAAACGCTCTACTGCTATTCGTGTCGCGGTGGTCCATTCTAAAAATACAAGGGCAAGTGAAGAGGGGATGAGAGGAGGAGAGGAGAGTGTGCCAGCGAGAGTATGAACCTTACGGCTTTCTATAATTAAACCCAAAACGCCAGACTGCAGCAGCTTTTCGGAAAAAAAAAAGTGCCGCTGCTTTCCGAGAACCGGCACAGTCGCGGTGACAGCTCTCCCTGCAACCCCCCTGGGGGGGGGGGGGGGGACCGTGAGGCGTAGACGCCTGACCTTGGGGCTTCTCGTGAAAGCTGTATGACAGGAAGACTGCCACATGCACCACAAGATGAGCACAGCTTATCAGAAAAGCCTCAAACGTATGAAACAAAAAATTAGTAACGATCCCAGACTGAGCCCTCAAAAGACTCCACAGTCTGGCTTCCATGCGAGACATTATTGTGAAGGATGCGTTGGGGTCGAGGCAGAGGTTGACATGGAATGATTTTTAAGGATGAAAATGAGCAGATTAGAGTGAAGGATGTGTGTTTCTGACAAGCCTGGGCAAACAGCCAGTAACAGAAAGTCTATGGAATAGAGGAAGAAGACAGAAAGAGGGAAAGAAGATGGATAAACTACAGAATATGGGTAGAAGATGGTAGCACACATGTCATGGGTACAGAAACATCTAGCTATCCACATGTCAAACCCACACACAGTTCCCTAAAAGTAACCTGGAAGTCCACTGTCCACCACCCGCCCTCACCTATGGCTCTGACCGGCAGAGATGATGCATTTTCCCCAGATGCATCAAAAACAGGCGCGTCGCTGAGTCACGCCTCAGGAAAATGTGACGACCCACCCAAGGCCTGAGAGTGGCTCGGTCAGCTTTCGCCAGAAAGGACTCCAACCTTCACGTTCTGTCCCGAGCCCTGCAGGTCGATCAGAAACCAGACTGAGAGGCCAGAGACTGACTGCCTAATCTCCCGATGGTGGGTCGACCCCTCAGGGGTGTTTCTTCCACCTTCAATCTTCCAAATGAAGGCAGAGAATCTTGAAACAGCTTCAAACACACATTAAGTCGGGTCCCTCACACCTCCGGCTCTCAGCGACAAATTAACATTTCAACACCATTTTGCCAGAAAATAAAAACCATCCTATTGCCAGATCCCAATATGAAAGCCGTCTGTGATTATTATAAACAACATGCTTGCAAACACACACCCCCCCCCACTACCCACCCAGAAGAAAAGCATGGCAAAGAGAATCCGAAGTCACCTTTGTTCATTTACGTGTGATAATTTGACTGAACAACCTGGCATGTCAGCGCCACGGAAAATGGCCCAATGGGCTTACAGCGAGTGCGCTGGCTTGGGCCGCTCCCTCCTGGGGGGCCACTGAGCCTCTGACGCCTGGCTGGCTCTCTCTGACAGGCAGAGCAGCTAAACGCCTCCTGACACAGTTCAGGCTCTAAAATTAGCTCTGCGAAGATGACTCACAACCCCCCCCCC